CGACATGTTGGAATTGATATTGATGCTCTGAAGATGCTTGTTAAGTCTAACCCAAGGCAACACACCCATGAAATGGCACTGAACTTGTATGTCTCTCATGAAACAATACGTAAATGTCTAAGAAATGTGGGAAAACTCCATGAAGAAGGTGTTTGGGTGCCTCACAAACTCTATGATGATCATCGTTTCCAAGGTGTGAACGTTCCTTCGTCTCTTCTGGTGCGTAATGCGCAGGAACCATTTTTGGACAGAATTGTCATCAATGATAAAAAATGGATTCTCTATGCGAATATTAAATGCCAAAAACAATGGCTCAGTCCTAGACAAAAATCATTTTCGATCCAAAAACCTAGACTCCATCCACAGAAAGTGATGTTTTGCATTAGGTGGGACATCAAAGGAGTAATTCATTTTGAACTCCTTAATCCACAGTGAACTATCAATGCAGAGATCTATAGTCAGCAACTAGAACGTTTAAATCAAGCCCGTCATCAGAAATGCCCTTCACTAGTCAATCAGAAAAGTGTTGTTCTTTTCCATGACAATGCACATCCACATGTGGAACATTTGACGCAACACAAGATTATGGAGTTGGGTGGGGGAGAACTTCCCCACCCACCATATTCTCCAGATATGGCACCATCAGATTACCATCTTTTTCATTCGCTGCAACACCATCTTAATGGGGAGACGTATGCAAATGTGGAAGGTGTTAAAGAGGACATCAACATGTTTTATGATTCAAAGCCAAGTAATTTCTTTAATCAGGGCATTAACAACCTGATTGTAAGATGGAAAAGCATCATCAATAAGAATGGAGATTATTTCATTTAATAAATGTTTTATTTTGATATTCAAGTTGTTCAGGTTTTTTCATTTAAAAAAGGGACATTAATTTCTTGACGACCTAATATGAACTTCTATTTAAGGGGTAACAAGTTTAATGTTTAGAATTAGAAGCCTAGAACAAAAGAAAAATTTCATTCTCTGTTATAATTTTAAACTTGTGGAATAGTTTGCCTGATAACATGATATGTGAGATTAGTAGCAAACTTTGTTTAATCTTTTACAGGTTACAAAAATGAATTTGAAAGGCTACATTTAATCTGATTCTTGTGATTTGATTGGTTTATTTAGTTAAGTCAATGAGTGATCTTGATGGTCCAAACAGAATTCTATTACCTTGATCATTCTGATTTTCCTATTTATGAAGTGGCTTATGAGAAAAGGTAGAAGATGATTTTAAACTGGGATTTTTCATTTTTGTATGATGACCATATGAAAAGAAAAAAGTACATTTAAAACTACTATTATCTTAACTTTACAATGAAATAACAGAACTCTGGATAAATCTCTCCATAGACAGTTATTCTATATCTTGTTTAAGAAGTTCAGTCATTATAATATCCATGAGTTTGTGATATTGTACGTACACTTTTGCAGATATACAAATCACACTTTTAAGTACATTTATGCTTCATGTATTATTATGTTATGAGGGAACTTAAAAGTGAATGACTGCTGCATTTATTTTTATTGTGAGTACTAACTTATGTAATTTTTCTTATAGTTGCTTTCATTAAATCTTATCAGTTACAATACTTAAAATAGCATCATTTGTTAATGATTTAAAAAAGTTAAGTTGTACTTATGAAGGTTACTGTGTACTTGTGTGCTTATTACGTGAAATTAGGACTAACCTTTCTTCTAACTTGTTGGGATCACAGCCAAAAATATCATTAACAGTAAGACTATTCAACAGATGATCCAATGCATTTCAGTCATCATAGAATTTGGTTTTATGGCATACTTCTAGCAAATTTGTTATACAGGATTGACTTCATTAATTTGAAAATCACTTTTTAAATTACTCACATATAATAGATTTACTTTTGATAAATAAGTTCTTAACACTTGCAGCAATTCCTCATTGACCTTACACTATTTCAATGTTGACTTTATAACTCATGCTGAGCCTAGAATATAGTAATTTCACAATGACTGACCTTGAAATATAGTTGTTGTTTTTTACGTTTACCTTAAAATACACTATTTTTGCACATCAATCTTACAGCTACAGTATTTTCAAGCAAATTGGACATTACAATATTTCTTCCTGCTAATTCTTCAGTAAAATATTTCCATGCTAACCCTGAAATGCATATACACTATCATTATATTTTTATGGTGACACTACTATACAGTATTTCTGGTTTTATCTTTTAATATAAACTAACATATGCACATTTCTCCAAGTTACTCACAATTTGTTTATTAACATTACACAATTTCGTTACATATTCATCAGAATACTGAAGTGTCTAAAAAACTCTGTTAAAATATACAAACCATCAATGGCTTCCCACACTGTAGGAACATAGTGTAAGCTTAGGAGTACAGAACAATTCATAGTTTTAGCTTCCACTGCAGGCATATTTCTAGCTCTTCACATGTTATCAGAAACTGAAATATGAAAGTAGAGGTATGTTACCTAACATGTTAAAAGTCAAGTGTATTTCAGTGTAGTTGAATGATGAAGCTACACATACATACACAGAAGTATGTAAATAACTTGGTTAATTATGTGTAAAGGTACGAGTAGGAAAGTATAATACTCATACATAACAGTGGCAAAGTTACCAGCCTTGCCAGCTGTCAAATATATGTACAGATACTACACTGTAGGTTGAGAAAAATTGAATGTTTAAATTATAGTTTAAAAATGAATGTTTAATATTATTACAAAATTAAAGCTTTTGCTTAAAGTTATAACTGAGAAATTTTAAAAAATGAGTGTTTTTATACATATATGATACTTATGAAAATTCATTGAAGTTGGAAAAATTGAAACTTAAAATATGTAGAAGTGTATAGAAGTCATTCTGTATTTACATATCAAGTCTAATAAAATACATACAAGGTTCTAAGGATCAGTAATTATAACCTTAAATAACAAGTGTATAGAAGTCATCCTGTATTTACACATCAAGTCTAATAAAACACATCCAATGTTCTAAGGATCAGTAATTATGACCTTAAATAATAAGTGTATAGAAGTCATCCTGTATTTACACATCAAGTCTAATAAAATACATACAAGATTCTAAGGATCAGTAATCATAACCTTAAATAACAAGTGTATAAAAGTCATTCTGTATTTACACATCAAGTCTAATAAAATACATACAAGGTTCTAAGAATCAGTAATTATAACCTTAAATAATAAGTGTATAGAAGTCATTCTGTATTTACACATCAAGTCTAATAAAATACATACAAGGTTCTAAGAATCAGTAATTATAACCTTAAATAATAAGTGTATAGAAGTCATTCTGTATTTACACATCAAGTCTAATAAAATACATACAAGGTCCTAAGGATCAGTAATTATAACCTTAAATAATAAGTGTATAGAAGTCATTCTGTATTTACACATCGAGTCTAATAAAAATACTGTTACGTCTCCGTTTGTTAATTAACTTTCTGTAACTTCGTTGCGACGAAACTTTAACGACACAAGTCCTTACTTAATAAAACTGGTTTATTCTTTCCGAATATAACTTTACGATACACTTATTTTCAACAATCGCTCTATAACAAACGCTATACGAACGTCAACAATACATCTGACTGCAGTTCAATTACTCACTGTCTATACACACATTACCGCGTCACGTTCTCCCCCTCTTATATATACCCGACTACCCTATATCTAGTAAATACTAGAGCATTCGCCAAAGTACAGGATATTTCTAGAACGTGGCGTCACAGTAGTCATGTGACTCGCTGACGCAACACTGCCCCATCCTTAATATTGTTCGTCCCGAACAATAACCACATATGATAAACCAATAACAATTAACAATAACTTAATTAACTGTACAGAATTACAAACACAAAATTACAATTCAACAAAGTCTCTTAATTTTACGGGACGTATCTTCTTCCGTACTGGTCTCTGTCTCATTGGCTTCTGCTTCATGTATTAACTGATGAAGCGGATGAACCCCTTTACTACCACTGATGTGACTGTTATCAATGATGGGACCTCTTGGTGAACTTAACCGTTACCCTTCTCAAAACTGAGTAGAGTTTCTTCTTCGACGGTGGCTTCTTCAGGTGGCACGTCTTCAGCAGCGTCATTTGTTCTGTTGTCCACTTTGTCCCAACTGAAATGTCCTGGACCGTGATAACGCCAAAGCCTGTTGGCATGCACCAATTTTGGCTTACCTCGCCGACCACATTTTATCCGGAAAGTCACGTATGAGAGACGATCCATTATGTCGTATGGGCCTTCCCATGGAGAAGACAACTTAGGAGACTTCCCTGTGGTCTTCCTAGGATTATTAAACCATACCTTGTCTCCTGGTACAAAATTGACTTCAGTAGATCCCTTATTATAAG